CGTGGTCAACATTTTGTCTTGACTAGGCCAGACCCAGACCCATTTTGGATTGCGTACAATTGGCACACTAACACAAAAGATAACCCTTGTAAATTGCGATTAAATCTTGACTGTCAGCGGAAATCGTCTTCTTCGGTGTATTCTGTCGTGTTTCAGGAGATTTCATAAAAAATTGAGTTCTAGATTTCCGATCTTTCATTGTTTGCCTTCTTCATAAGGTACTGATTTACAAGTTACTGTTCTTGCATTTGTGTAATTTCTCAGGTTTTCATTGTATGGGTTTAATGTTTTCTCTTTTTGGCATGACTTTATAATTAAAAATGATGTGTTTGAATCTACTTTATGGGTTCCAGCCGTGAAGGTTACCAACATACTATACTAAATAGCTTAAAGCATGCAAACGAAAATAGCCAGAAAAGTAACCAAACTAAAACATTTAAAAAAAAAAAAAGATGCAGAGGCTTAGGCTCATGCATTAAGTGCTGGTTTTAGTCTTCTGCCTCAGGCTCAAGCCTCAAGGATCAGAGAATAAGGCTGGGGATCAGAGGCAACTTCACTGTCACTTTCGGTCACGGGATCAAAGACAGCTTCATTGTCACTTCGAGTAACACTTTCATGTTTTGTCTTAACGCTCATTTGTTTATAAAATCGAACGAATTTGACGAAGTTATTGTAGATTGTAGTTATGTGTGTTTTTATATTTGAGAAAAAAGCTTTTACTTTCTTTTTTTTTCTTCATTGGAGTCGATTATCCATTATATATTAATTGGAGAGTGATCTGTGAGAAAATGCTTATTTGTCATCTCCACAATCACTCTCACCGACATGGCTTGTCAAAATTGTGACATGTCAATTTTGAATCAATAATAAAATCTTATACAACTAAATTTATAATTGTTATCATAAATAAATCAAAAGAGTTTTTAATGAATATATTTTTGTTTTTATTCTAATATTATATAAAAATTTGGTTTCTCATTTAAAAATAGTTTAGAAATTGATTATTGTAATAACAAAATTATAGAACATTTTTATAGAATATATTTTTTTGAAAATAATAATAAAGACTTACCAAATTTTTAAAAGAGATTTTGATATGTCTGTGGAAAAAACTTCCCATGTTTATAACAACATATATAATTTTTCTTTTGAAATATTTTTTTTAATGCAAGACAATTTGAAAGTAATAAAAACATTTTTTAATTCGAAAGCAATAATGTTTTTTTTTAATCTGTGTTTTATTTATAAAATTTATGATTATATATTTTAATGTTTTAAAATATTAAATAATTTATTTGTATTCTAAATTCTATTTTATTCGGACAAGCCAAACTTAACATGATTCTTTTTTTTTAACTCTAATGTATTAAATTATTATACATTTTGATTTGACACGTTTACATATATAAAATAATTAAATGGTAAAACTAAATTTTTGAAATTCATATTATTGATAAAAACGATATTGTTGACCAAAGAAATTAACAACAAAAGTGATGGAGCAGAAGCTTCTAGGGATAGAACTAGATCCGTTGATTCTGAGAATACCAAAAATTAGGGTTTGAGAGTCTTCCTCTTAGGGCTTTCGCAAAAGCTCTTAGGATTGTGAATACTCTTCACAGTAGTTTATCAAAACCTCTTTAGAAATCTTTCGATTAATCAATTCATCAATAACTCAATACAATATGAGACTTAAGAAAACAATTTATAATAAAGTATAAAACCCTAGATATCCTTGGAACATTCCAGAATATTCTAAAAGATATTCATTAAAATATAAATCTAAATAATTAAATAGATAATAATGATATTTGGAAATATTCCAAATATCTCGCTGCATCAAGTATCAACTACAATGTCATAATAAAAAATCAAAACAACTACATATTTCAAATTTTTAAAGACTAAAATTAAAAACATACTATATAAATAATTTATTCGCGCGTACGCGGGAGAATCACCTAGTAGTAAATACATGACAAACATATGTTTTTCGAATGTTCAAATTCGTGAAAAATATGATTTATTTTGTATGTGTTCAGACAATCAAATCTAAATCTAACATCAACAAGATTATAACTAAAATCAATAGTCAGCCATAATATATGATAGTTAAACTTACTTTTGTAACTTACTTATCATGTTTAATCGATTTATTTATAATATTTTTTTTAATTTTTTTTAATGCTTGGTAATACTAATACCTCACTATTTCCTTTTTATTTAAAATAAATTTAAACATGAAAATCTTAAATCAAGTCAATAAGAGAGTGAATCATGACATTTAAAGAAAATATAGCAGAAGAATAAATCATTTTATACGAGCACTTGTAGCACAATACATATAGATTTGTTCGGTTCTTGTTGTTCATAGAGATTTTTTTTCTCTTTTTCTCTGGATATTCCAGATTTGTAATCTTATTGTGATAATTTGTTAGATTAGCCATTGAGTTGTCGATTCTTTATTGTTGTAAACATTGGATTGATTTGGTGAATACTAAGTATACGAATTTCTGATACCTTTGATAAGGAAAACTGATGTTCATAAAACAACAATCTCCAGTTCAATTGCAGAAGATCTAATGATCTTCAAACATTGATGAACAAAACCTTCGATTACAAAGAATGAGAAAGAAAAGAGAAAACAATTTCAACAACAAATCTGATTTTCTCAAATTCTTCTTTTGCTTTCCTTTTAAGCGATTCCTTTAGCTCCAAAATGATCTCTACCATTGATTATAATTTCTAATCACCACCTTCCACGTGTCCTTCATTATAACCACTAGAATATAGTTTGCGCGATGCATGAGTTTTTCTTTCACAGTTTTGTTAAATTTAATGACAAAAATAAGTTTAATTAATCTAGTATTTTTCTTATATTTACAATTAACAAAACAAACAATATTTTATAGATATAAAATAATATTTCATTTGAACTGAAATGAAATTAGTTGTTTCTTTTATATGTATTGTATGAAAATATGAAATGATGCTCAATCATTTCAATATCTATAATTCCTATATGAAAATAAATATGTTTGTTTGAAACTTTTTATCTATCTATATATATATATTTATAGTATGTGTAGTTCTGTAGTCAACCACTAACGTTTTATTAATCAGAATTGTCTTCTATACTTTTTGAAATTGTTCAATATCTTTGAATAAAATAATTTATCCTCTTTTTCTTTAAATATTCAGCCTCCTAACAATTACGTTACTTTAATAATTAACATCATTCCATTTTTTTTTAATTTTTTCATGTTGTTAATCTACATTTTCACTCATTTGCTCTTATATTACATATTTCACTCAATTACCAAGTTACATATTGTTTGTTATAACTGATGAAAAAACACCATGTTATATTCATTTTACATATTTTCATTTTTTTAGAATTAAAATATGTAAACATTTATCTTTATAATAAATTCATAATGTTTTAATTACTCTCAAATGAAGTATAATATAAATGAAATATATTTCATTCTGTAATTTTGTATTCACAATAATAAAATATTCAAATATTTTTGTATGTACTACTTTTAATAATTTATTTACTTATTTCTGGTTTTTATTTAATTCAAATTTGTGGTAGTTATAAGTAACAATAAATATACATAGATATGAATTAATTGAACATTTAAAATAAAAACTATTGTAAACAAAATATTATGCTTAGGTGGACACTTTAAATGGAGAGAGAACTCCCTAATTATATAATAGTTTATTAGCAAGTGAAGAAAAATGTTAGACCAAAATCTGAAGTTGGTTCTGAACCAACTCATACATGACACAGAAGTGGTTTATAACCTAGCACACAGAAAGTATTCATATTACAAAACTGTTTTGAATTTCATGAACTTTGAACTTCAGAAAACCCTTGGTCGTCCCACTTGTACTTGCAATACAAGTGATATTGCAATGAGAAGTATGAAGTGAGAAAAGATAATTT